CGATTTCCCGTGTTTATCTTCCGCAAGAGGAGGACGCAATTTTCACAGAGAGCGCTCTTTGGAAAAGGCTATCGGGCTGCGTAGAAGCTAAGCAGGATCGCCCGAATACACCATCTCGAATAAGTTCGTGCAACTCGCTCAGTTCGAAGGGACTTCGCGCGAAGCTCCTCGCGATCGTATCTTCTTCATGGAGAGCGCGGTCGGTCGGTCGGTCCAGCTTCATCGTCGTCGGATCGTCCATCAAAGTTCCGACCAAGTTTGCCTCCCGCGTCACAACATTGTCGTCCTCCCCCCCCCCAATTCTTTTTCCTCACCGTTCCCTCGGCTTTCTTTTCCCAATGAGAAAAAGAATCGTCCAGGATTCACTACGACAAACCAGTGCGACTCCACTCCCCCGCCCTCTTTCACTTCTTCATCTTTTCATCTTCGCCGAGCGTCTCGACTCGCCGCTCGGCCGTTTTTACCCCCCGCCCTCACATCCCAATCCCTTTTTCCCTTCATCTGTACGCTTCGGCGATAATAACCGGCGAACCAACGGTGCAAATCTTCAATCTCGTCTGGCAAATGGCCGATCTCGAGAGGCGCGGGGCTTGCCAGACGGGACGAAAGAAGTTCCCCTCCCGTCTATATGTACGTACGCGGCGGCTACGAGAGCCCCCGAAAATTTCTCGCCGGATGCGACCGCATTGTTTGCCGATGGCACATGGAACTCCTATGCACTGATTTCTTCTTCTTTCTTGCGTCTCCTTTTTTTTATAGTCGCACATCGCGACGTTTCTCGTTTTTCTTCGAATGCGTTCGACGTCGTTTCCATCCCTTACTTCCCGCATCCGCGCATTCTGGCGAGAATCTATGCCGAGAAGAGAGAGAGAGAGAGAGAGAAAGAGAGAGATTTATAAGCGATGACACGTGAAAGTGGTCCATTTGCATCTCGCGAGCCGCTGAGCGTGGCAGCGTTATCGATCGCGCGTGAAGTATTTTCTTCGATTCTAAGATACCGGACGTGCTATTTCATACGGCGACGTTATAGAAAGTTCGCGGCGGACAAATCGTGGCTCTTTGAGCAAATAAGACCCCATATCGCAGTAACCAGCTTTTCGCGACGAAAGAAATCACAACGTTTCGAAGAGTCGCGAACCCGAAGTGAGTGATGTAAATTTTGATTCTGCAATATCTATAAAGTACAAACGGTATACTTGGATACTCACAAACTGCGATATACTTCAGCTTGCTTCGCGGCACATTTGAGTAAAATGTGTAAACGCAGATTATTCGGCGAAGTGTGCGTCTCGATGAACTTGTTTAGATACTTTTCGACTGCGCGAATTTCTCGAGCTCTCCGTTTCCAATTTCTCGCATCGTCCTCCACGACTACAATATCATCGCAATCGTGTCGCGCCAATATTGCAATCCCTCAGGTTCGTTCAAGGAATACAATTTGTGCGATCAATAAGGAAACCGTCAAAGCGGAAACTCCCCTGCGCCGCGCGAAGCTGGCTTTAAAACGACAAGGATGTTCCGAGGGAAGAAACAATGTTGTTGGATGGTCTTATCTCGCTCTCTCCGTCTTTCTCGCCACCCTTTCTTCCCTGCCAACCTGTTATTCTTTGTCTTCTAAACATACGACGCTGCAGGTAAACGTTGAACCAACATTGTAAATCTCTGCTGCTGTTTGGAAGCCGACTAGATCCCAGAATCCACCTGTATTGTCACATAAAACGAGCGGAGAAAGATGTCGAGCGTTTAAAAACATCGCTTGTATCGGAACTGTTAGAATATCTGATGCAATAGATGAGGCTTTAGCGAGTCCCTCGCGCGCGCTTTTACTACGTACAAATCCAAGTCTTTCGCATAGTAGTTTTAATATTTTATGAAATCCGAATTAAACGAGAAAAAATAAATTCAAATATATTTTTTTTTTTTGCATCGTTTAATATGACGAAGATTCCAGACTGATTTTATTTGCAGATAACGTATTTGTAAACGTAGAAAATTATTTAATGTGAAATCACAGCACGCAAAGGAAAAGCATTTTTACACATGTTTCTACTTGCATTACTGCATTTGATGCAATCTCTCTGCTTTGCTCTCTTCCTCATCTTTTATCAAATATAGCATAGATTCCATCCGAGTTCCGCGCAAGACGATACGAAATCTCTCTAATCTGATCCATGCCGAGTTGTTTGTGCTTGCGGTGAAAGACGTGTCCTAATTTTCGTGTTCATTTGTGATGCGTAATGTCGGGACGGAAAAGTAGAAATGCAATGGTAATGACTTCGCCGTGAGTTGCGGTTTGAACTTGGTTGTGCTTCGAAAATCATAAAAATTTTTCCGTGCAAATATTGCGACAGCGAGATCAGCTCGCTGAAATGAAATTAGCTTTCCATTTTCCAAGTTCTATCTTCAGTTTTCCCGCTTGTAGTTCCGCCAGATGTAATCTCAGATTTTAATTTAACTTTATTATCGTCTTAATTATTCGCTGCATTAGTTGGTACGAAAATAATTTATGTCGCGCTTCGGATGTCGGAATTACTTACTCGGAAAATAATTTCTATCTGACTTCAGATTTCACTCGGATTGTCTGCTCTCTTGATATACATTTTATCAATTATAATTGGTAAAATATATATTTATCTTCTTTTTCCTCTCTGCGCAAAGAAACGTAAGATAAACATATTTTCCACTGACATGTGATTAACATTTGATTTAATTGCCGGAAGATATTCCCGCTTGATGCTACCAGCATTAAATATTTGTACTTGTACCTGTTACACGATATCTCAGAGCGAGGCAAAATATGCAATATATATTTTGATATCGTTCTGCGTCAAAGCTAGAAATCTAACCGTCTACTCAGAATCGATCAAACGCTTACAAGCTGCGAGGGAAACTAAAAAAGATCTTTAAATTTTGCGGCAAAAGTACCGTCGTGAGAGCGGTATAGCAAATTCTCGTAACCGTTGGTAGCCGTGACAAGAAAACTCGATATAAAAAAAGCTCGCGGTACCCAAATAAAATTGTTCGCTTGTAATCGAGTCCTTGAGAGGAAAAGCTGCATCGTGGAAAACCTCGAACTCCAATATTCGTCGATTGTGCATACGTCGCGTTTTCCTCACAAAACTGCCTATATAGTAAATCTTTACGAAAATACACGGAAAAAATATTACTGAAATTGATATATATTTTTTATAATTATTTAAATTTTCGCGTAATTTAAATGATTAATTGCATTTTCGATTTTAATTGCTCGATTCGTTAGAACATTTCAATCTTTGAAATTGAGTAGCTTTGTAATCAGATTATTATTTAAATTTTTCGTAAGAAAAAAAGTCGATATCACATTCGTCGTAGAGCACACATTTACATACATATAAATGCATATTGAATCCTTCCTTTTACATAAAACCTGAGCATACACGGATCCATTAATATCCCGCGCGATTCACCGTGGGTGAGAGCCCACGTTTTTCACGGAAAACCACAAAAGTCATCGTCGCAAATGCGTTCTCACGTAAAAAGCTCGAGTGTCACGCCAGTTGGTACTTTCGTCGCAGTGCTGAGAAACGCGACGGTGACGAGTTCGCGGTGACGAGAGTGCGACGCGCATCGTTGGGGATCCACGAGCAAAGAGAGCAGCGGCTGCGCGCGTGCACCGACGAGAGAGAATACGGGCGAATTTAATTTCTGCGTAACGTTACACCTTAGGAGTCTTATACCAGCGCCATTGTGCGCCTTCTGGGTGAGGACGGCCGCGGAGAGACACTCGATCGCAGGGACTCCATTTGCGGTTTAGCATAATGGAAACCCAACGCGCCCCGAGGGCCGTCCGCGCGCACCCTCGTCCCCTGGACGTCGCGTCTCGTCTCGTCCCGTCGCGCCTTCTGGGTCTACTTCGTTCTCGTATTCTTCACGCTGTGACCACGTAAGAATAGACGGAAATAAGGAAACCGAGGAAACACAGCGGAAAAGATAACACTCCGTGTTCTCGTTGCGCCGTTCAATGTCAAACACGGACCGCTGACTGTTGCGAATGAGGGAATGCGAGACGAGAACACGACCGCGGGTTCTCATTGTGTGTTTCGTCTTTCTTATAAGGATGTCTATTACTGAAATTGCAGCTGCTCGATATATCAAGGAGAAAAAATTAAAGATACTAAATTATGCAGCGGAGAATTTATTGCATAACTTTTTAATTCCTGTAAATTGATAACTTTATTAATTTTTTATCTCTCTTCTTAGATTTTCACCGAGCGACATTAATTATAAGTATTCAAGCGTTTGCATTGCGAGACTTTTTAATTTTTGTAAGAGTTGATAATTTTATGTATTCTTTGTCTCTTCTTACATTTCCACTAGGCGACATTAATTCTAAATATTCAAGCGTTTGCATTGCATGACTTTTTAATTTCTGTAAGAGTTGACAATTTTATTTATTCTTCATCTCCTTTTACATTTTCATCAAGCGACATTAATTTTAAGTATTCAAACGTTTGCACTGCGTGACTTTTTGATTTCCATAAATTAATAATCTTATTTGCTGACTCCGTGCCTCTTGTTATATTTTCGTCAAATCAATTATATCAATTATAAATAGAGACTTCACAATAAATCTGTTTTTCATCTGATATTTCAGACCGACGTTTTAGCAATGGACGTATCAATGCTACGGCTAATTGACAGATAGCGGTTTCGAACTAAAATAGACATCTAAACCATTATAACTTTGTGAACATATAAATGCCGCGTGTTCAAATATAGAGTACCATTTTACTATCAAAGCCATCGCTAATGGTACCGGTCGTTTCTTGAGTAGTCTTGAGATATATTTATCGCGGTGTAGTGAGCGTCAGAAATGTCTTCGAATTACCCGGCAAATGTGCGTCTACCGCGGCTCGATGGCTGCCATTCGTCTGACGAGACGACGTCTCTTTCGCGGAGACTCATTTTCGGCTGACGAAACCGAGCCGTCGCATCTTATTCCTTATCTTTTATTCTTACAGGAAGGCTGTGATGAGGGAAGTCGGCTAAGAGGAGCCCGTGTCGCGCAAGCGCCGGTAGAGGAGTGTAGGAAAGATGCCGCTTTCCTCGAGAGTCTTATTAAGCCCGCTGCTGCTTCTAATCATCGCAGGAAGCACCGGCGCCTTCAGCTCCCGGCAAGGAGGTAAGAAATCTTCGTCTTGAACGATGTTTTGCGCCGGCGGAGAGACAATGACGATGACACCGACGAAGACGACAACGACAACGACGGCGACGATGGCGACGACGATGGTCGTTACGAATTCCGTCTTTTCGCGGTTACGACGAATTTCCACGAGAATAGTCGCGGTTTTACTCTTTACTCCCCGCGCGTTCGTCGCTAGACGTTCCGTTGTATCCTCAAGTTTTGAGATAGCGCATATTTCCGTCCCCGCGGAGCTTCCGCCTGTCAATTTCACGCTATTTGCACATTCGCCGACAAGCGTGAAAATACGTTATCGCGCGTTATTCGTACGTTTATTTCATGCACGCTTCTCCGACAATCAGAAGATTCGCAATGTGCTTTCGGTGCAAGGGTACTTTAATAGGAAAATCAAGTTTATCTGAAACCGAGATATCCAGAAGAGAGGTGGATCTATTTAAAGAAAAATTTGCTTTCCACATGCACATGCAGAGACTCGCGTGCACAATACGCTTACGTCGCGCGGATCGGCCTTTGCGCATTCCCCGGGAAAGATTCGGATAAAATCATAACATGCGATGCGAGATAAATGAACTGCGGCCAATGTTTGGTGGAACACGCGTCTGCTTTAGGACATTTCAGCGGAGAGAGGAAGGATACTGCATTTCCGTTCTTTTGACCGTTTGCACGTACACGGGTTTATTCCGAGGGCTGCGGTTACTCAGTCTCGTGTAGATATCGGTAAAAAGATACATGCGCGTGTATGTGTACCATTCGAGACGACGATATAAGCAAAATATTTCCATACCTTCTAGTATCCCCATCTGATATCATCCATTTCTCTCATCCTTTCTCCCGCTTCCTCCTCTTTATCTCTCTCTCTCTCTCTCTCTCTCTCTGTTTCTCGCCTTTATTTCTAGTGTCTCTTCTCCAGCTGCATTTGTAGAGAGGATGTCTCTTAGTGACCATTTCCTAGATTAAGGTCACCTGGAAAGCAAATAGTTGTTAGAGGAACGTAGCGCACGAGCGACAGAGAGGGACAGAGAGACAGAAAGAGAAAGAGGTAGAACTCGAAGTAGTCGCACGAACGACGAACTTCCGGTATATACGTTCCTGGAAAACTATTATGCGCGAAGGTCCGCTGCATTCGAGAGAAACTCGGCGCGCCAGAATGTACGAGCGAGCGCTGGACAAATTGTCCTGCGATCCTCGCGACTCGCCAATGACGGTAAATCCTTCGTCGCACTCTCGAGAATGCGCGAGCCCGATCGATACGACGCTGGATCGGATCTGGTTTTCAAGCTTTTTCGAGATGTAGATTCTCGAGTGACAAATAATCTCGAGGCGCAGTCAGTCATTACTTTTGCAGTTAATCTTCCGTACTGTTTTATACGCAGCATACATTAAACATCTTTCCGTTTCCTAATTACAATTTCTAATTTTTGTATTTGGAGTATAATAGTAGAAGAGAATAAAGAATTGTATTACAGCATTAAATTATTAAAGAAGAAGTTATAATGGAGAACCGTCGGAAACTTTCAATTATGTGATACGTTGCACATTCAGCGTGGATATTAATAGAATAAAAGCCCGGCGCAAAGAAAATATTGATTAAATGATTATATCTGTCGCATTCCGTCACAAATTTCTAACTTTATAAATATCGTTGATGCTGTGTTAAAATTAACATTAACTAAAAGTATGACTCAAGAAAACTTCAACATATATCTATTTATCGTAGAACATAATTAACATACTGACAGATGAGATTTACTGACATGTATGAGATGATATATGTTTTTCCATTTCGATATCAGTTTTTAGAATTTAAATAAATTCGCTTACTGCCATTTTAAAAAAAAAATTTTTGCATGAAAATGTGAAAGTCCATTATAGTATTATTTGACATTCCAAATAGTTCGGAAAATATTTGTTTTTAAGATATTAAATTTAAAAATTACTCAAAAAAAAAGAAACATTTTTTTGCATAATTATAGAAATCAATTTTGTCACTTTACAGCTTATTAAAAGCAGAAACTTTAGCAGAATATGTTTTGCAATATTGAAGAAATAGGAGGGAATATTGATTGCACAGAAACGGTACATAGCAAGCGGACAAACAGATTCTAGAAGCACTATACGTCTTCGAAACTAATAACACACTGCCGAACTTTGTCAGCTTTGTCTTAGTCTTTGTCAGTGCGTTGGCCGTTTCGCCTCGACATGCTTCGTAATGATCAACGAACCGGGTATGCGCGCACATACCGTCGTTCCACATTCGCGACGAATGCAAACTCGCGATTTCCCGGAGAGGTTCAACTTAAATCCGACCCGGTTCCGCATTCAGGTCAGAGCCCTAATGCGGTCCGCTCTCGCGGCGGGTGAAAGCCCTACCCCACGCCAAATGACTCTCGGGGCAAACGTTGATTAGCTGGAAATTTATGCGCCCTCGCGTCGGCACTGACATCCGGTGGCGAATTCGTGGCCGGCCGCGCAAAGGGAGAGAAAACGCCCGTGGCCGAAGAATTTGGTCGCCCTAATCGTGGTGCAAACAAGATTATCTGATCGAATTTTAACGGAGGCCTCGCGTGATCCCCCGGGCGACGCGCGAGGCGGCTTCGCCCGCGCGACAAGGCGCTCGTAAATACTTGTACTCGTACTAACGCAGACGTGTGTGTTCGAGCGTGTTTCCGTTCAACTTAGCGACACGACGTGGCAGCGACGACGACAACGATGGCGGCGACGATGACGACGACAACGACGGTGCAGACAATCTCGAGCGACGAATTTACAGCGTATAAACACGTTGTCCTAGTTATCTCGCTCGTGCTTTCGCGGAGCCTCCCATCCTTTTATTACGTTCCTCCCACCGCTATTTGTCGCCTTTTTCTCCGTCGTGGCTGACGCTACACTGCCTTATCTTAATATTAGCGAATTTAAATGAACGCGCGCACGTCTGCGGCGCGTTTGCTTTCAAGCCGTAAAACACGACCTCGTGAAAAAAGAAATTTTACAGCTCGCGTATGTTGCTATCGATGAAATTAAATGGACACTCGACCTCGTCGGCAGTACAGTTATGAAAAAAGTTCTGAAACGCTAATAGAATAAACAAACGTTGAAAGCGGCGGCAAGTTGCGATTTACTGGAGCTCATAACTTCAAGCGTTATCTAAAAATTCAGAATTTTTATTCTTTTTTTTTTTACGTTTTTACGTTTTTGCGCAATACTTTTAAGTGTCTTTTATCTCTCGTAGAAACTTGCACTTTACCAGAAATTATTCCACTCTTAATGGGACACTTTTTTCTACTCATCTTTGTTAAAACAGAAATATTTTACAAAGTTTGACGTCTTATCTTTCTGTATTTTTCGCGCTTGCATATGTGTGTGTGTGTGCCTCCGTGATTCATGAGTGTTGATATTCCGCCAGAATGAGAAAGATTTCTCGTCGGTCATAATCCGATGTCAGAAGATTAAAATATTCTGTCTGGTGAAAGCGCGTTGGTTCGAGATTTGAAAGAACGGAAGGCGAGACAGCGGTGAATTATAATTGCGGCGGGGTTGATAATTATCACGGGCGACGGGATAACGATTTCGGCAGCGGCGGAGCGCAATTTCGCGATAAAACGATTTGTGCCGTGGGCGACGCACGGGCCTCCGCATGTGGAAAATACAAGTACACAATTAAGCGTACGCCAGTACGGCTTAATATCCCCGAAAAGCTCCGTTTGTTCGTTGCGACGAGCCCCCGCGACTCGCTTTGATCTCCGCCGGGAAGCAGAAGGCGGGACTCCGCGCGATGCGACGAACCGCGCACGGCGCTGTATCCCGTTAACGAGATCGCGCTCGCTAGAACGGCTCTTGCACTCCAAGTGCAACAAAGGGTGAAGGAGAAAGAAGGAGAGCTCGGGCACCGCCGAGTCGGACGGAGACTCGGATTGTCGCACGTTTCGTGTCACATTTCGAACTTCACCGTCCGCTCGCTTTCTTCCTCCACGACTTTTTCTTCCACTTGCTTCTCCTTCTTTTTCTCGCCTCTCCTTCTTTTTCCTCTCGCGACTATTTCTTCCCCCTATCTGCCAGTTTTCCACGTTCCTGACTTTCCCTCTCTTTTGCCATTCGCCAAAGTGCCTGTCAGATAAAATTCGTCGGCGAGCGAAGTCCCAGAGCGCGAGGAGTTCACGTAACCGCGGAGACGATAAGAAATGGATGCTGCGAAATTTCAGAATAGGAAAGACAAGAGAAATGTATTTCCCTCCCCCAACCCCCCGCTGTCGCTTCTTGCTCTCCTCTCAGCTGATGCATTTTTTATTCTCGCGGACGTTGTTTGTTTCGTTGACGCCTATGCGATTCTCTCCGATCTCCTTGCAAGATAAACGCCTGTCTCCTCTTGACAAGCGTTTCTTTATTTATCCCCGATAGAAACTTATCCCATCAAAAATGGCAAAAGATATGACATCGCATTTTGCGATGGCCGGAACGTCCAAGTTAAGAAGATATTTAGAAAACCGGAATAATTTAAAGGGCAGCAATATTTTACGACCGTCCAGAAAGACTATTGAGTCAGACAAAGTCCTTAATTCCTTTAAAAATGCAGCGCACAAAGAAGTGCAAGTATCAATTTTTATAGGATTTAATATTCTATCAGACATTAATTTTATAATTGTACAATGTGTATTAAAAGGAAATACAATATGATAATAAATCTAATTAAGTTAATATTCGCATTATGTTTTGCATCATTATAGTTTGCATAATGACGTTGAAATAAGTACCGGTATGTTATATGCATCTAATAGAAAAACTCGTCACTGAATAATTATAAATCATTAATTTGCAGCTAATTAACAGTAATTAGAAATTAAGCAACGTATAATTTATGTGTGTAGATATTAATGATGCTAATTAATAAATTCTAATGTTATGAAATACGCAGATTACTATTATGTGAATTATAACATAAAAATTAATGATATCGAACTGTTCAATTGTATTTTCAGATAACATATGTGTTTTGAAATATAAACTTGGGAATTTTTTAAAAATATCTTTGAGAATTTTTCAAACGATAAACATCTGCAGTGTGTTTAACTGTACTTTTTATGGATTTCTTTCGTATAATTTAGAAGATAAGAAATATTGAAAACAATTTTGTCAAAATAATCGATTTATAGTTCAATTTAATGATAAATTTGCACAAATTCGCTGCAATCTATTTCAGTTTCAAGTATTAACCTACATATTAAACGACGCCGAAGTTACACGCGTGTTACACACGAGAATTACAAACATCGCGCGCGGACGGAACATGATGAAATTGATAAAAGTGGTAAACAGGGGTTTACGACATACATATTTCAGGGATGGAATTTAACGCGGGGACAGATCCGTCATCATTCACTCCCATCCGCCGTGTTGCTGTCGCAACAGCTGCCTGATCCCGGCTACCGAAAATTCCTGTGTTTCTTTCCGCCTGCCCTCGCCCGGCGTGGAAACCGACGAACGTAAGATAAAGAATGGGACAGATAGGAGGAACGAGAGCACGAACCAGAAACATTTAATTCTGTTTGCGGCGAGCGTAGAATGACGCCCGTGCCAGAATAGAAGATCGGAGACAAATGATCTCGCATACTTAGCGGGCGCTTGACTGTGACAAACTACCGTATACACGAACACTTGTGATCACACTTGCGGATACACACTTGTACATGCACACGCGCATACAGTCGCTCTCACGCGCATATGTATACAAATGTAGTCGCACAACCACGTGAAACATTCTGTGAGGTGGCTGGCTTACTTTCGGCGCGCGTTTGCACATTCGCAGGAATCCGGGAATGGTGCCCTTTTGGCTTTCCGTTTCCTTCCTTCCTCGAGGGCGCGGTTTCAACTAGGCACTACGAGCGATCTACTTTCTGTATTTGCCTGTTGGAAACTTTTTTACTTCCGGAGCTAAGCGTTCCACTGGAAGCGTATCCGCGAGGATATAA